ACACCAGACAGTGGCTTTTTTGGATGCAAAGGCTTCTTAAGAATCTTATGTAGATTATGTTCACTCTAAAGATTACAATTTTGCATATCCACAAAGCCGTTTAACCAAAAATGATCTTCATTGGAAAAGATTATTTTTTTTAAAGTTTCATCATTTTCGAGTTTGTCTGCAGCCCAATCGGCGAACAAACGACGCTTATGATGGTCAAGTAGCTTCAGTTCTTGAGTCAGAACAATCTTGTAAGGGTGTAGGATTTTTCTCTAAATTTTTTCTCAGAATTTGCCAAGTTGTCATTCTGGTGAGTCCAAGTTCTTGAGAACGACGAATTACGGACACATTTGCATTCTCCGCTACACTGGCTCTTACACCAGCAATATTGTCCTGAGTTCTTGCATTTCGGCGTCTAGTTGGTGGTTTCGTATCGTGCAGAGTAAATTCACGTTCAAACTTTTTTACGATTCGACGAATTACACGCACATCAGGACGACGATTTGGTCCATAACTTTCACGTAATGCACGATAGGTATTCACAAAAGAACGATTAAAATTTTACTTTTATTATTTATTTATTAACAAAATTTTAGGATAATTTCCAAACGTTATTCAACCGTATATCTTGCCATGGTAATTTGTTAGAGAATACTAAATATAAACGTCAACAAGTGACAGTTCTATCATTTTCAAAATGACCGCTATGACATTTCAAAAACAGGACGTCCTTATTGGGAAACACTTTACAATTCTGACGGTTGACCTCGCCATTATGTGAATGTAGCCTCATCAGAAAAAATAATATTTTGAACCAAGTAAGGGGTTTCAATGGCAGTTATCCATCATTGTTTCGCAAAATTGTACTCTTTGATCTGAATCATCCTCGTTTAATTCCTGTACAAGTGTGTGCACAACAGTAGTGTGCGCATCTTCTTCAAAAGCAAGTGGAACATCTAATGTTGTATCATAATTTACAGAGGGACGACCTGATTTTGAATCGTACCAGTTTCCTGAAATTTCTTTTTAATCTTACTTACTGTGGACTGCGTTATGAGTCTCTGAAAATTTATCATTTAATAAATTACACACCTCAATTTTTTGCTTTACACTCAAATTTATTTCTAATTTAAATTAATTCTATGCAATAATATAGAACATTCACGAATTAATACAATTATTGTACTACTTAATTGTATTAAACGTTACTAAAAATAAATACATTTCAATAAAAACCTAGTAGTAGGCTACTTTTTTGCAATTGATAACAAATTATTTTCTAAGAGCACATCTTTCAAACTATATTTATGGACCCTGAGTATTATACTTTTTTGGAATCAGCTCATTTCTATCGATCTAAGAATGTCATTAAATATAGGGTATTAAGTTGAAAAAAAAACGATGACGTCATCACCTTTATGTGTATCATCTTTTATAATAAAATTGTGTTATGGAATGTAGAACATTAAATTTAAAAATCGACGTGTTTTAGATTTTTTTAAAAAGACTTTTAATTTAGGAAATATTGAATTTATTCCATACTTTATGGTCACACTGTATAAATACGAGTATCTATCTATCTATAGACCAAAATCTATTCATGTGTTGACTATAGGCCTCTCCCATTTGTCTCTGTCTTCTGTTGGTCTTTTCCACATTGGATCTGGGCTTTGCTCAATGTCATCTTTCCATCTCATTTGCGGTCGACCTTTATGCCCAGCCCATTTCCATTTTAATTTCAATGCATGTTCGACATGTTGTTTCGGTTTTGCATCTTATCCACCCATTCCTCTTTTTATCTTTCAACGATATTCCCAACATTTGTCTTTACATAGCTCTTTGAGTTTTCTTTATTATATCTAAGTTGCTCTTGGTATACGTCCACGTGTGGGCACCATATGTCAGACCAGGTAGGACGCATGCATTAAATACCTTTGTTTTTAATTTTAAAGGTAGTTTTTGGTTTTTGATAGTATATGAGAGTTTTCCGAATGCAGACCACCCCATTTTTATTCTTCTGGTTATTTCTTTAGTCTGGTTACTTTTGTCTATTCTGTTAGCTTGTCCTAAGTAAATATATTCTTGGACGTGTTCTATGTTTGTTCTACCTATGGTAATTACTAATCTGTCTTCTGTATTAGTCATTATTTTAGTTTTCTTTAGATTCATTTTTAGTCCTTTCTCAAGAGATGTTTTTTCTAGGTCTGAAATCATTATTCGTAATTGTTCCATAATTGTTGCTATCGGGAGTACATCATCGGCGAATCTTAGATGATTTAAATATTTCCCGTTTATACAAATCCCTCTATTGTCCCAGTCTATAAATTTAAAAATGTCTTCCAACGCCAGAGTAAATGTTTTGGGTGAGATTGTATGCTCCTGTCTGACACCCCTACAAATTCTAATTAATGGAGTTTGCAAATCTCTGTCTAGCTGAATTCTCATAGTGGCGTTTTGATATATATTATGGATTACCATTCTGTACCGTGAATCTATTCGACAATTAACTAGTGCTTTTTCCACTGCCCAAATTCTATGCTGTCAAACGCTTTTTCATAGTCAACAAACGCTAGGTATATTGGAAGGTTGTATTTGTTGGTCTTTTCTATCAATATTTTAAGAGTGTGAAAGTGGTCGGTTTTGTTGTACCCCTTTCTAAATCCTGCCTGCTCAACTGGTTGATATGCATCAAATTTGTTGTTTAGTCTAATTGTGATCACCTTAGTGAAAGTTTGATAGATTTATGACAAGAGAGATATTGTTCAATAGTTAGCTAATTTTGATCTATTTCCTTTCTTATATATATATATATATATATATATATATATATATATATATATATATATATATATATATATGTAAATACTTTTTTCTTTTTGGGTAGTCAATAAAAAATAGAGCTTTGCTAAGGCGTACTATTTATTCTGAAATCCGAGCTTTCGGTGGTTATTTGCCACCTTTATCAAGGTCTACAATGAAAATTACTGTGTTATAACATTAGGCTGATGTAATATAAAAGTTATAAAAACTTACCAGAAAGTAAGATTCATAGCATATAAAACACAACGTTAAATAACATAATGTGATCTGAATTATTGAAGGCATTAAAAATTTTAAAAACTTTAAAATACTTAAAAATTAAAGAACATGTTACAAAGTTTAAAAAGTAAAAAATAAGACGACATGTTTGACAAAAAAACAGTCGTCTTCGCAGGTTTGAATTCAGTCACATCTCACGAACAGAAAGAGGTAGTAGGAGGAACTATTGTTGTTTAAATAGTTCGATGTAACTACAAAAAACAAACTTTCAAACTGATGTCTAACAAAATGCCGGTTGTGATTTTAAGTACTACCAACCATGTTACCAACTTAGAATTGAGAGGGAAATTTAAAAAAAAGGTTTTATTATGTCAAAAAATAAATAGAAAATAGTATTTAGTAAGTAGGTTTAGAAAAAACAAACAACCAAAACAAAATGAACATCTGAATAATAACTGAAGTTAATCATGATGTTAATCATATTATTGTGAGAGGTTTGAATTCAGTCACATGTGAGATGTGACTGAATTCAAACCTGCGAAGACGACTGTTTTTTGTCAAACATGTCGTCTTATTTTTTACTTTTTAAACTTTGTAACATGTTCTATAATTTTTAAGCATTTTAAAGTTTTTAAAATTTTTAATGCCTTCAATAATTCAGATCACATTATGTTATTTAACGTTGTGTTTTATATGCTATGAATCTTACTTTCTGGTAAGTTTTTATAACTTTTATATTACATCAGCCTAATGTTATAACACAGTAATTTTCATTGTAGACCTTGATAAAGGTGGCAAATAACCACCGAAAGCTCGGATTTCAGAATAAATAGTACGCCTTAGCAAAGCTCTATTTGCTATAGATATAGATTGTTATATATATATATATATATATATATATATATATATATATAATATATATAATATATATATATATATATATATATATATATATATATATATATAATGGACTAGAAGTATTTGCTGACAACAAGGAAGTAAATTTTCAATATTGGGTTTGCAGCAATAAAAATGATACGTGTACTCTTTTAAATTTTTATTCCGAGCTTTCGGACATGGTTATGTCCTTCATCAGGGAGCTACAAATATGATGAATAGTTTGTTACAAGTTTGTATAATTAATTAAAGATTCGCTACTTACAAACTTAATGAGGTTGGATCATCAATGATTTTCTACCATGTCGATAAAACTTATCACAGTCTGTCATATTATTATATAAAACTTATTCCTATATTTAAAATTTTTAAAAATTGCTATACAATCACAAACACTTACTTATTATACACACATTTCTGACATTTTTATTCTTAATTTTATTATATCAATTGTAATATTTTTAGAATTATGACCTTATTTCTTTAGGTTAATTTAATAAATTTTGTGTTGAAACATATTAATAAATATAAAATAATTTATATAGCCACAATACATCTAATGATAGGCCTATAAATGGGTACTAGTATCTAATAATAAAAACCACTGAATTGTCTTGTGAAAAAACTAATGACGATATAATAAAATTAAGAATAAAAATGTCAGAAATGTGTGTATAATAAGTAAGTGTTTGTGATTATATAGCAATTTTTAAAAATTTTAAATATAGGAATAAGTTTTATATAATAATATGACAGACTGTGATAAGTTTTATCGACATGGTAGAAAATCATTGATGATCCAACCTCATTAAGTTTGTAAGTAGCGAATCTTTAATTAATTATACAAACTTGTAACAAACTATTCATCATATTTGTAGCTCCCTGATGAAGGACATAACCATGTCCGAAAGCTCGGAAAAAAAAAAAAAATTTAAAAGAGTACACGTATCATTTTTATTGCTGCAAACCCAATATTGAAAATTTAATTATATATATATATATATATATATATATATATATATATATATATATATATATATATATATATATGTAACAAAGCAATTTTTAAATTTCAGGCTTATTTATTAAATATCCCATCATGGGACTGGAAGCAAGGAGATGACGTCATTTGTTTGGCAGAACTGAAATTAGGCTTTATAGCACAATCCTGTTTAGCGCCTGGATTTTCAACAATGATGGCAAATTTATTTGCAATGCGATCCTTTAAAACGGTAAGTTCTCTTAAATGTTTTGTATGTATTATAATATATAATTTCTTGTGAATATTTCAGTAGGTAGCATAATTATTTCTCAAAAAAAAAAATGATAACTTTCTATGATCTCATGGATTTGCAATATTTTATGAAAATAATAGCATTCAAAGTAAATTAAAAAGCTAAACATCAAACACAAATAATAAATTACACAATATAATGAGTGAATAAAGGGATGGGATAAAGAATTGCAAATTTACATTTATCTTGAGATATTTTTAAAAATAGGGCATTAACTACAACATTCTGGAACAATTTCAATTTAGTTTTTTGAGTTCTAAAATAATTCACTTTGTTTTTTTTTTATTGAAATATGTCAGAAAAATTATGTGATCAATTTTTTTTAAATGACAGTATATACATTCTGGCATCTACAGAAAAAGCTAAAAAAAATTGCGATCGTTGAATTAAAAAAATCATATTAAATTATTTATTATTTACAAAAATATCTTAGCTAACTATCTCGATATCAATGAAGGCTGGGACATTAACTCACCGATAGTTTTAACTATCAGTGATACAGTATTTAAAAAAAGAGTTCAATCCAATATTGACTAATAAAAAAACTGACTGGGAGAGCTTCAAAATAAACCTTGAATACAAAATTAATCTTGCTGTGCCGTTGAGAAACAGAGGCAACTTGATGACGAATTAGAAGATTTTATAAAAAATATCCAACAGGCAGCTTGGAAAAATACTCGCAAAATAACTTCTAGAATAAAAGGGAACAACTATCCAAATGAAATCAGAGAACTCATAGTAGAAAAAAGGAAGTTAAGAAAAAAATGGCAGCAATACAGAGCTCCACGAGACAAAACTAGTCGAAATAATGCTACACAAACACTAAAAAGGGAGATACAGAATATAAAAAAATCAACAATTAATTCTTTTTTAAGTAATTTAACAGCTGACCAGAACACAGATTATTCGTTGTGGAGGGCAACAAAAAGAATGAAGAGAGCAATTATTCATTCTCCTCCTATCAAGTTGGAAAACGAAAACTGGGCTAGAAGTAACGAAAAGAAAGCAGAACGATTTGCAGATCATTTAGAAAGCACATTCAAGTGACATCCTATCGACCAATTTCACTCCTTCCGGTGATGTCAAAAATATTTTAAAAACTTCTATTGAAAAGATTAAAACTAATAATATAAAGAAAAAATGTTATACCAAATCATCAATTTGGTTTCAGAAATCAACATCTCACTATAGATCAAGTTCACAGAATAACGAATATATTAGAAAAAAATATTAGAAAAAATTAAGTCTACTCTACAATCTTCTTGGATGTAGCACAGGCATTTGATAAAGTCTGGTATGACGGTTTAAACTATAAACTAAGAACGTTCACGCCTAAACAGTATTTATACATTGCAAATAGGTATTTCAGAGTAAAACAAGAAGAAGTGTACACCGACTTGAGAGCAAAGCTATCAAAATACTACTGCCACCTTCTCGGATGATACAGTCATACTAGCGATAGGAGAGTGACTAGTGAAGAAGCGACTGATAAGTTGCAACTATCAGTAAATAAAATACATAACTGGACCAGAAAATGGCAAATAAAATTAAATGAGACTAAATCTGCACACATTAACTTTACAAATAAAAAAATAGAAAATTTCCCAGTTAGAATAAATGATACCCGAATTCCTTATGCAACATAAGCAAAATACTTGGGCATTACCCTAGACGCGAAGCTGCGCTGGAAAGTCCATGTCAAAAAGGACAGAGGGGAGCTTGATATTAGATATAAGAAATTGTATTGGCTGATTGAAAACAATTCAACATTATCAATTCATAATAAATTATCCATCTACAAGCAAGTACTGAGGCCAGTATGGGTATATGGGTGCCAACTCTGGGGCTGTACCAAAGCTAGTAATCTACATATTATCCAGGGATTTCAAAACAAAGTACTGAGAAACATTGTTGATGCTCCTTAGTATATCCGTAACAGTAACCTCCACCAGGACTTGGGTATGGAAACTGTGATCGAAATAATCAAGGGAACAGCAGCAAGTCACGAGCAGAGGCTGCATAGTCATGTGAATGACGAGGCAATCCAGCTTCTTGACAACAATGAACTAAAGATAAGACTTGTAAGGACAAAACCATTTAAGTTAGTGTAAATGTGTAACAGTTTAGTGTAAAAAGCAGAGTATAGTGCTGTGAAGTTATTGCATGTTAGTTGTAGTGCATTAGTTGATAGATAAAATAAGAGGAAGCCATAGGGTAATCTCTTAGATTTATGAATTTGCTGTTTATTAAGTTAGGTCAGAAAATAACTGATAATTGGTCATTTGTGACCAGATAGCAGTATACACACACCACACAGGTGTTTGTATACTGTTTTTACAGCATATTCATAATGATCATTTTTCGTCTAAACAAACGAAATTCGTTAACGTATAAAAACCCATTTGTTTAAAACACTTCATTAAACTCAATAAAAAAAACTAAGATACTTTAAACCATACAGTTTTTAGTAAGTAAATCTCAAACCCCATCTCAAACATTTCTGAGTGCTTGTTTTAAAACAAGTTCTGGGAAACTAGCATGAATAATTTAGTGCTTACTTTGATACTTTGATAATAGCTTGTCATTGAAAATCAAAACGATAAAACTAAGGTTATATTTATTCAATTATTATGTCGTAATATTTCCATAAAATATTGCAAAAAGAAATTGTATACAGTTGTTTATTATTCTTTGCTATTTAGGTGCACTGGACAAGTTATTGTAATAGCGTAATAAAAGCTTAATGGCCGCATAGATTTTTACGGACAGTAAATCTTTATCGGCTATAAAAATTGGCTAAGTGTTTATTGGTTTCAAAACATTAATTTTATTGATAAACATTTGAAATTCTGTTGATATTTAATTTTTTGTCTTTGTTGAAAACCTATTTAGTAAAGATTAGTTATGCTTCCGCATATGTTTGTTATTATTTTGTGAAGTTTAACAATCGTATTACTATACTATAATATATATGTGTATATTTATGCAAGCTTTAACACCTGTTTTTTTATTCACTTACACGTTTCTGATTTACTAAAATTACAATAAACAATGCTGATTAAAAGTGGTCTTTAAATTAAATTTTAGGAATAATGGGGAAGATTACATACTATTTTTAAGATTTATAAATAAAATATATTTTCCAATAGATACACATACAGGGCGAGTTTTTAGTGCGAAATTGGTCAATAAGTCCATTATGGTACCTATACAATATTCAAAAATGTTTGTATAAAAATGTAGGCAACGATATTCTCCAGGCTTGTTAATCTGTTAGTGTTAATCTGCAGCTTCTTCTCCACAACATCATTTCAATTGCATTTATTATGTTTTCCATTCTTTAATTTGTCACCCACATCTCTGAGTCAGGCAGTGAGCAGCTTTACACTATTGTCTTAAAGATTTAGTGCTTAGTTTTGCTTGTAATATCGTCGCTCCATACAATGGCGTGTAATTATCGTCTTATTGACTTTCCTTTTCTTTATTTTATTTTTATATTCATTTCATCTGACCCTGTACTTTTTAAACTTTTCTTCTAGTATTTACATGCATTTATTTTGTTTGGTTGTTATTTATTTACAGGTCTCTGCGATTTTTCCAATGACCGTATATTGCGTTTTATCATACTTAGTTTCCAAATTCCAGCTTCCAAATTCTTCTTCTAGTTTTTTTTAACATGTAGATGTAGACAATATCGTCTTTATCTTCTTATAAAATGATTTAATCATTCAATTTTACTCATCATCATCACTGGCTCGACAACCCTTTTTGGGTCTTGACCTGTTCCAAGATTCTTCTCCATTCTGATCTGTTTCGTGCTTTTTTCCTCCAGTTTTTTATTTTTAAGGTTGTTATATAATTTTCTATTAGTTCTAAGTATTTCAGCTTCGGTCTTCCTCTTGTTCTTTTTCCTACTGGCATCTGTTTGAATATTTTGTTAGGTATTTCGCCTTCTTCCATTCTTTCTAAATGTCCTATCCAACGCAGCCGTCCTATTTTAATAAATGTTATAATATCCGGATCCTAGTATATTTTGTATGTGAGTACCGGTCTTATTAAGGTTTTGTATATTTGGCATTTTGTTTTTCTTGCGGCGTTATCTGATCTTAGTTGCCTAATTTAGCCATGGTAACATTTATTGGCAATAAATATTGGCCTCTTCACTTCCTCCGCAACGTTATTATCAGACGTGACTAGGGATCCCAATTATATAAAGTTTTTTACCCCCTCAATGTTGTATTCTACTATTGTTATATTTTGTGGCTGCCTTATTTCTGCGTTTTTACTTACCTGCATATATTTTGTTTTGGTCTGATTGATTTTAAGACCACTATTTTGTGCAGCTTGTTCTATTTGGTTGTATGCCTCTATCATTTCTCTTCTTGATCTTGCGATTATGTCAACATTATCTGCAAATGCTAGTATTTACACGCTTTTATTAATGATTGTTCCTCGAGTATTGAATGTTGTGTCCCTCAATATTTTCGTTCGAAAACGATGTTGAACAAGATACATGATAGAGCGTCTCCCTGACGTAGTCCCTTTTTTCATCTATTGTTTCTACTTTACTTTCTACTTCTTTTATCAGTTCTATTATTTGTGTTGGTATATTAAATTCTTTTATTACTTTTATTAAGAATTCTCGGTTTATATTGTCATATGCGCTTTCAAAGTCTATGAAGAGATGATGTGTGTCGATGTTATATTTACATTCTAACTGATTTTCTTTTTTTGTTCTTTTGTAATGGTACAATATATCGCTATTCCACTCTACTGGTAGCTGTTTATTCGGCCATATCTTTGTTATCAATCATTTAATTTTACTATCTTCTTTAAGTTCCATCTTCTATCGAAGGTTGGAAATCATCATGGCCATGCGGACTCTGTTGACTGCCGCTCTAAATAGTTCTGCACTACTGCACTCAAACCATTCCCTTCAGTTCTTAAGCCACAATATTATTTTTTACGATATTTTACGAACAGTTATGCTAAATTCTTGA